CTATCTGCTAAAAAATTAGCGCATGATAAAAAAGGTTATTATAAATTGGATAATATGAAGCATTTAGCGCATTAATAAAATCATAAGTTGCATTGTAATTACGACTACAAATTTTTGAAAGGTGTTAATATGGTAAAAATTTGTCCAAATATTCATCTTATAGTATTATGCTTCAAATTATCAATTAGGATTTTAGGATAAAAGATTACATTGTTAATGATAAGTTAGAATAATAGATTAATATTAAGCCAGACATAAAATTAGAATCGGTTTAAAATTAAACTATGATAACTTTATAATAAGTTTTTTTCGCAAAACATTCGCGAAACAAATTCGCAAAACAAAAAACAATAAAAAAGATCTGTCATGCCAAAGGATATTTTTTCTTTTCTTGAATTATAAAGCATCAAAATTCAATATTTCCAAACAAAAAAACTTTTTGAAATTCAACCGATATTAATTTCAATTTGTTTGGCATATATATTTAAATTTTTGATAATTCAAAAAATATGCGAAAAAAGGAAAATGTTTTAGCTTAATATGGGAGAAAAATTAAGAATTTTTATAACCGACACTATATAATTTTTTTTGACGTTCATTTCAATTTTTAGTTTACATAATAATTGATTATTCATACTGTCACCAAAGTTCCTTTCCTTGAAGAGAAATAAGAAAAATAATGACAACTGGAAATTTTTCTGAATAAATTTTTTTCAATTTTCCTTTTCAACTACTAACGTTTCATGCTTTTGTATATAGGAAGTATTTGAAAGTATTATTGTAATTGCTATTTTTCGATATTACTCGTTATTATTTTTATTATTATTGTTAATTTTCTTGAAATTCTTCTTTGATTTATGTCGTAGCAGTGAAGTTATTTCCAACAATTTATGAATTCCACTCCTTCAGCTTAAATGTTTATCAAAATTTTTTTATTGCTTTGATTAAAATTAACTTTAATATTTTATCAATTCCATGTATTTTGTGCAAGTTTTGCATGCAACGATTAAGAGATGTATTATTTTTTTACCCATATTTGAATTTAATATATGAAAAAAGAAAAATTGGAAAACTGCATTTTTTTTCTGTTTCGATAATGATGTTTCATACTTCAAAGATTATCTTAACTAACCTGATTAATATTTGAATAATCCAGAAAAAAGAATGATGAATGTCTTTTAGTGCTAAGATATTAACATGTTTATTCAATTTCAATTTATCAGAAAGTAAAGCGAATATATACCACACATATTGTTCTCGTTCCATAGTTCTTTCGTTCCAATCATTTTATTGTAATTTATTTAATTTTATTCAATTTTATTCCATTCTATTCTATTCTTTAATTTCATTTCATTTTCAGGAATACGCCCCATTTATATCGAAATAGTTTAAAAAACAATATATTGTATAGTTATATAAAAAAATAATAAGAAGAACAAAAATATGAACCCTGGGAAAAGGTTAGAAAATTAGAAATAGTGAAGAAATTAAATTTTAATGATCAAAATATATTTGCCTGTTCTTTAAATTTTCTGCATTAAGTAAATTCGGTGATAATTTAGTTATTTTCAAAATTTTAAACGAAATGGATTAAATAGAATGTTTTTTTTTTCCTTTCTAGTTGCTTGTAAATTTCCTTACTACAAAGAAATTTGAATTATTTCACTCTTATATCATGCATAAACCAATAGTTATATACAATGGAATAGTAATAAGGGCAGAAATATGGGTTCCAATATATTTATTGAACAAATATTAATTTCAATTTTATAGAATAGAATAATAACAAAATAATACTGAGGATAGAATAGAATGAAATAAAATGTTATTATTTATTGATTTATTGATAAATAACTATTTGTTAAAATGATGATCAGTTCCATTCCAATCTCCTTGTTGCTTTTAGTAACAATTATATCAGTTGTATTGTAATTTATATGAAAAAATTTTAACATAGCAACCAAAAAAACAACAGAAAAAACACGAACTTCGTTGCCATTCCTTTTTTTTTCTTCTTTTTTTGTTTATTTTGAAGCAATATCAGTAAACATACGTATATTTTATATTATATTCTCTTTCATGGAAATAAAATAAAATTTTATTTCATACTGAAAGCTCAATCATATGATATCGAAAATGACAATTTCTTATTACATTTTGATCACTTTTTTTTTCTTCTTTTTTTCTTTTTAAGAAACAAAAAGAATGAGAAACAGAAATTTTATATAGCTTCTAGCACATGCAAAAAAAATTGGCTTTATTGAAAAGCTGCCACTATTTTTTTCTATTTTTTCATTCAATTAAAAAATATATTTTTTGATCGGATAAAATGTGTGAAAATGGATGCTTTTGATGAAAAATGCAAAGCCGACATCTGAGAATTTTTTACTACTTACAGTAATCCTTATATATTCGATAAAAATTGTGAAAAAATAGCTTTTGATTAGTTAAAACGAAAGAGATGAATGGGAACTAAAGCTTTCATTATAATATTAAAAAAAGACAACAGATAAAGGATTCTGAAATTTTGAGTAAATTAGTATATTAAATTTTGGGCACGTTAGTATTTAACATTTATACTCACTCTCTTCGCTTTTAGTTTTATTTCCTATTTTATTCCGTTTATTCATTTTGTGAAATTTTAACGAATGTCATAAAAACAAAAAAAAGCAAAATTTTCAAAATGAAAATTTGCATTTAGTGATCATTTTATATGAAGTAAGTAAGTAAATGGATATAAAAGTAATAAAAAAAAGAAACAATAAATTACTCTAAGAAATGAAACTATGCAAGTATGATGTTAGTATATTAAGCCTCAAATATATCATTGAACAAACTAATACAATTAAGGTTCAAGAATGTTAGTATATAAGAAATTTTTTGGAAAATAAAAGAAAAAATTGTAAAATGTATCAGGTCAGAGAAATAAAAACATGAACGAATAGGGGAGAGAAGAGAAAGAATTGCAAAATTATATGCCTTTTGATAATGAAATTAGAAATGAGCAATGTAATTCATACTTGCATAGTTTCATTTCTTAGAGTAATTTATTGTTTCTTTTTTTTATTACTTTTATATCCATTTACTTACTTACTTCATATAAAATGATCACTAAATGCAAATTTTCATTTTGAAAATTTTGCTTTTTTTGTTTTCATGACATTCGTTAAAATTTCATAAAATGAATGAACGGAATAAAATAGGAAATAAAATTAAAAGCGAAGAGAGTGAGTATAAATGTTAAAAGGAAAAATTGATACGGGGAAAAAATGATAAAGTTAAAATTTTTAAACAAATTTTTAAATAAACGCATCGTCCATTATTTGAAAAAAAATTTGATAAAGAATAGTAAATTTTGCAACCTAATCATTTTTCCTCTTAGTTATAGATAATTATAAACGAAATAATAATATTAGAAAATTTAATTTAAATGTCTTAATTAACTGATTCACATTACAAGTGAAATAAAAAAAGGTTAGTACATTTGAAAAAAAATCTGAATCTTTAGATATTTTTTTAAGTATTCGAAGACTATTTTAAAATCATTTTTCATATTTTTGTATTATCAGAAATGCAGATGTTTCTGTTATACATTTCACGTCATGCATTTCACGTGATAAGGTTATGGAGAAAAATTGCAATGTGGGGAGGAAGGATATGATGTCTTATTTCACTTAAATGTTTAATACGGTGAAAAGACCGAAAATATCGAACTTATACATCTAAACGAAAATACCATAAACACATCTATAAAATCAATCTATACACATGTATTTACGTGTGTTACACGTATGTGAGAGCACAGTGTACCACCAAGAAGTAGAAAAAATACGTTCTAAAAATAGTGTTTGGTATTTGATGGTTGGGCCGGTATTTTGCAGACTTATTTCAATGTGTGGCATTATTGTGGCGGTTGTTGGTCGAAGCCGGTGCTGCTGTAAGTATTCTCTGCATGATGATATTGATTGCTTACTTTTCCTGAGTAATTCTCCTGAAAATTTATTGTATTTTAGAAAGGATGGATGATGAAGGAGCATCATCATCCGGATTTTGCAATCCATATGATAGAGATTCCGGTTTTGATGCTACTTCACGTGAAGCAATGTATAAAAATAAAGGTAATATCGGCTTTGTTTTGTTATCGGATTTTGTTTTGGTTTTCCTTTCATTTCTTTTAATTTTTAAGTGCAAATAAAGCGCCTACTCTTGATTTATTAATAAAAGTGGATTTTTTTTAATGCTTGTTTTTTTTAATGGGTTGTGTAATTATATTGGAAAATTCATCATGGAATAGATTATCATAAAAATTATCTGATGTGGATTCCTGCTTTTCTAATATGAGAAAAAATATTAAGTACGTTAATAATCTAATGACATGATATGACAAAGGATGAAGCAAGATGAGATTCTGTGTAAATTCCTTCTTTTTCTGTTGTTATTTTTCATTCATTCTAGCAAAAAATGCAATAACATTGATGTCTCCATGCGTAAAGTGTTAATAAACTAATAAGATGATGTTTTAGGTATGACATCAGATGCTATGCGTAAACGACGTGAAGAGGCTTACGCTGAAATCCGTAAAGCTAAACGATACGATGATTTAAACAAGCGACGGCAAATAGATCTTGCACCAACTGATGTGGATGAAGAACCGGGACGTGAACTTGTAAGGCATTTTGATATTATTTACTTACACTGAATGAAGAATTTAGAATAGTACGTGGTTGAACTCATCCGACATAGATAGCAGTATGATCATTCTTAGGAAGGTAGTATACGATCTTATTCTGCATGAAGCCAGGTTATTGCAATAATAGGCCATGAGCAGATTGGTAGTTTTGATTTTCATTTCAATAAATTGTGCGGAATATGTACTCTCTTTCCAGTTGTCATTGGTTCTGAGAGTTTCGAAAACATTTCATGCTTCATTTCACTTCGGAATACATTAAGTCTCGCCTTTATCTGCTGCAGTGGATCAAACTTTAGACAAAATAGCTACTGTAGAAGAAAGTGAAACTGTATGGGTAAAGTTAATGAAGAATTATTTTAGTCTGGTAATTCAGTAGATGAGCGAATCGTTTCGAAGCTATGTGGTGAATGCCCGGAAGAGATCGAGGAAGCTCTGGATTTTTATAGACGGCGTTTCCGTACAAGTAATTTTGCGGTTCATAATTTTAAGAGGTTTTCTTAGCTGAATCTGAATTATGTTGAGAAGTAGTATGAAGCGTTAGCATTTGACATGTAAACGAATAAATACGTAGAGAGAGTAGTGACTGTGACCATGAACATAAATCTTGCATTTACTTATATAGAACAGTAGATATTACATTGACAGATGTATTATACACTGTATATGCTATATATAATGTACATTAACATGTGAAACGCCATCTATACATTTAAAAGTATGTTGTGTCGCTATTATCTACTAGCATGAGGCATGGATATTTCCTTCTCTCCTTTACCATTCAGTCTATTTAAAATCCTTTGTCTATTGATGGTCACTAATCGATTATATGTAACAGCCGAATTTGTTCTGATGTGTTCAACTGAGGATTGAACTATTTATTTACTTTTGCTGACTATTCAGTTTTCTCAAAAATTTTCAACAAATAATTATTCCATTTTCGTGGAGAAATATTCCTTGCTGTTGTATAACATCTAATTTTCCAATTTTTGATCAGAATTTGCAGTGGAATTCATCTCATATGTCTAAGAAGAATACAATTTGTTAAAGGTAATGCCAGTGATGTAGCAGATGAAATTGTTACCTTGAATTTAATACCTCGTATCGTGGATTTGTTGCAAAACGGATCGACTCTTAACATACGTCGAACTGCCACCCATGTTGTTGGTGCTATTGTTTCTATCTGTTCAACACATACCGAAGCAATTGTCAAAAGCGGAGTTGTCCCACATTTGGTCGATTTGATTGGGTAATGCTATTTTAGGGCAGTTTCCGGAATTTTCTTTGATAATTCACCTCATCAGCATGATTCTGCAATTTTTTTATTTGCTAATTGTCAAAATTTCACTTATGTAACTGTAATTGGATGCTTGTAGTAATCCAGACCGCGAGTTGCGTGAGCTAACATTATTTGCGCTAGGTAACATAGCTGCCGAATGTTGCGAATATAGAGATCTCTGCATCGCATATGGTATGGCTCAGAAAATGACGATGATACCGGATGGGTAAGCCTTGTAAAACTTTGTCGGTTCCTCTTGGCCCTAGTTTTTTTTGTCTTAGGTCTCATTTCCTTTGCAGTACCATGACACTAATGGAAGCGCGATGTACTGTCTGGGCTTCTTCGAATTTATGCCGTGGAAAAGATCCTCCTGTAGATCTCGAGAAGGTTAGTGCAGACTGAAATGTTCATGCAGTTATTCTGGCAAATATAGTTTAGCTATACAGTTAGCTTTTTATCAGTCTAACTTTTTATTATATATAATCTGTTTGGGTGTGATATAGCTTCATTTCATATCTTAATGGGAAATTTTTCCTTATCTTTTCTTAACAGGTAGGGACTTTAGTAATGGAGCTACGAATAACTTTTTCGAGCCAAATTAAGTAAATTAAAAAATCAACGCAGCTTTGTAGTGTCTCCAATTATTCACTGTATTTTACATTAAAATTTTTTATGGTAATAGGTGAGTTTCAGATCGCTGTGTTGCTGCCATTGTTTAACGAAGCCTTGTACAGTAATGACACATTAATCATCTCAGATGCTTGTCGTGCATTTGGTCGGTTACTTGATGCTACACCGGAAAGCTCATATAAATATATTCTAAAGCCAAGTACCATTGAGTGTCTAGTAGAGCACATGGGAAATCCTAATTCGAAAATATCACTGGCGGCGTTATTGGCAGTTGGGAATATTGTTTCAGGGGATGACGAGCAAACGCAAAGTAAGTCGAAATTTTTAGTTAAGCAACATTTGTATTTTGAGAATCCGATACGTCTAAAAATATAAAGCCTGCTCCCATTAGATCTGTGGCAGATCAATTAATAAATTATGTCCAATGCACAGTTTGAGCAATTTATATGGGAACATCGTACTGCGAATATTCTTGATAATCAATAATTGAAGGTGTTTTAAACTGTGCAAATGCGTTGAACTACATTCATCGTCTTTTGCTGGATGGTGAGCAAAAAACAAAACGCGAAGTATGTTGGGTATTATCGAATATTGCTGCTGGTACAACTGCGCAAATACAGGCCATCTTTGCCGCTGGAATAATTCCTTCTTTGATACAAATTTTGAAGACGGAAACATTCCAAGTTCGTTCAGAAGTAAGTTTGTGTGACTTATTTCTTTCTTGGTTCACTTCAATTGATCTCATAATTATTTTCACAAAAATCCCAAATTTCAGAAAACTAGGGTCAAGGTAGGAAAATTTTTCACTTATCCAGTAATACTTCCTGAAAAATATATTCAAAAAGGTCAAGATTCTAAAAGTTCAAAAAAATCTATAGGACTTTCTTTTCATATTTCAGCTAGCTGTTGTAAGACTCTCAGGAAGTGAAAAATGAGAGTTATTGGACATTTCATGGAAGTTTTTTCAATTTACTAGATTATTAGAATTAAAATGAATTGAAATACTTTTGTAGGCCTGCTGGGTAATTGCTAATGCGATCACTGGTGGTAACAGAGAACATGTGTCACAAATTGTGCGCGAAGGTGCTCTTATCCCTCTCAGTGATATGCTCACTGTCATGGATTGCACTGTAGTTGTCGTAGTACTCAAAACATTGACCGAAATTCTGGAATGCGGTGAACATTGTAAAAGTAATATTCAGTTATTTATTAACCTTCTGCTGCTTGTTCCTATCTGTTTTTCTTTATAAGCACTTGAAGCTTTTCTGTTAGCCTCCGTCGCCATAATACATATGTTAAACTTAGCTATTATTTGGAAAGCTATGGAATAAAGCCTGAAATCAGATGACATCGTCCCTCTATTTGTTTACTAATTGATTTCATGATATCTCAAAAAAACTAGAATTTTTAATTCATTAGTGTTCCTGTTAATTTACTGATGTTAAATAGAAATAAAAGTGTTTGGGTTAGAAATTATTATAATTTTTGCCAATAAATCACTTTGCAAAAAATGTTTGAGGGCTTGAAAATGATCTGAATGTGACTGAGGTGTAGATGTAGGATCGGTGAACAAATGGATGGTTGATCAATAATTTTGGTAATGAATTACTGGGATCGAATTACACCGATAGCAATGCTTTTATCAACTACACCAGAGGATTTTCTAAGAAAAAATTGGGTTTGGAAATGTTTATTATATTTCTCTACATTTATTGCTATATTATTTTTCGTTTTGCAGTTGATGGTCAAAATCCATACGCTGCTCGACTAGAAGAATTGAACGTGATCGATAAACTTGAATTCTTGATGTTGTAAGTTGAATTTTCTCTAATGAAAATGCTCTACCTGACTTGAAAGTTTTTATCTACATATTTTTCAACCTGATAGAGGTGGATATCCAGGGCATTTTTTTTATTTTCTACTTTTTTTTTATCGCCCCATATCTGCGCTCTTCTAACATATATTTTTATTTTAACAAAATTGTAACATTCTCTTTAAATAATCTCTTTAGAAGTTCGAATACGGAAATATTTTTTAAAGCGTGCGCGATCATGGAGAAATATTATCTTCGTGAAGATGACGAGCAGGATAATACCAACAACGATAATAGTGTAGTTCGTAATCACAAATTGAATAATTTCAATTTCTCTTAACCTGTCTGTTCTCTTTTCTGTGATCCAGGTCTGTGTGTTCTCTTCTGCTTTTTCATGTGACTTCAGATACCGAATGTATTGATTCTTTTCTTTTTTGTAAATCCGTCATCAAAATAGAATCATCCTAATACACTTATTTACGCTCAGGATCCAGAATTTAATTGAAATCGCAACACTGAAAAAATCACTTTGTGAATAGTCATATAATTTAGTAATTATATGTTCTCTAAATGATGTTTCATTCGATACGATTCTCACGAAGAAAATTCAAAAAAAGGAAACGGGAATATAGAAAATGCATCAAAATGAATATACCCTGGTGTGATTGTCCTGAAAACATGATTCTCGATTTAAAAGGTCCAACAACGCCTACGAAATGTAACATGAATTTGAGGTTTCATTATAATCTGGTTTAATTCGCTAATATTTTTGATGGCGGTGATAGCTGTGTGTATGCGTAAGTATCATAGCCTTGAAAAATATTTTTAATTGTCGGTAAAGAAAAATTTTTTCTGTATCGTCAATGCAAAGTGTATAATTTACACAAAAAATGGATTTGTAGCAGGATTTAGGTGTATTGAGATTTTTCACAAAATGAATGACAGTGAAAGAAAATTTAGGTATGTGGAAGGAATAAAAAAGCAAATCCAGAGGATCAAATACCAAAAGAGAATACACTGCTGACAGAAATAGTAAAATGGAGAAATGGTCGTGGAATAGGGATTAATTCTGGGCTTTCCTAATGCCTTTTCCCATTACAGAAGATTCAGCCAAAGAGATCGCTGTCAGTACAGAAAGCAAAGACATCGTCAGGATAGTCCTCGGGATCAGTGTTAAGATTTGACCTAAGGTTATGAGTATAGCGGAATGATTCTAAGTAACAATGCTGGTAAGCCGTGTAGGGTGCACTTCATCAAGAGTGAAATCGCTAATGTTTTCTTTGATTGAAATTGGTCGGTGGTCATCGTGAATTACATGACCATTGTGCACAATCTTCCAATCCGGAACATTCTAACTGCAACCAGTTGATTTTGCGTCAGTGTCTATTCTAAACGGAAAAAACTGATTCAAATATTTTAACAGAAACTGGAGTTTCAGTTTCATTCTCTTTTCAATAATTTGGCAGATTACAGTTGTTTTTAATAATTTAATTTCGCTTAATCAACAAACCATAAAGTTCGGTAATAAAAGAACAGAAAACTAAGTTAAGTGAGAATATTACAATTTGACTTGAAAATACTCACGCAAATGTCTTAGAGTTTTGACAATCAGCTACTGGACTCAAGAAAGAAACATTCCGCGACGATCGTGATGACTGAAAATATCGTATGAAAAAACGTATGACAAATCAACGAATGCTATTTGTTTCCTTACTAGATTTAAAAAGAAAAAAATTCTTTAAAACTAGTTAAGATTCGAATTCTTTTTGAAAATCGCTCAAAACTGGCAATTATCAACAGCAAGGCCGTCAGCAGTTCAAATCCTATCGATAGGACTCCTGCAAGAGGCTTCTGATATTATGGACGGTTGAGAGTCCATAAAAGAAATGCTACCTGACGCTTACAACATGATTAAATGTAAATTATTCCAAACTGAACTTCGAAACTTGCATATTCAAATTGTGTCTTCTTCATTATTGACGATCTTTCAGTGGCATTTAGAAACGAGTCAAGCATATTCGACGTAGTATTATTATTTTCTCCTGCATCATCCAGAAAATCTCTCAAAGTAGCTGTCGTATTATTCGACTTTTGTAACGCTCCAGAAATAGATGCGTGAGGTTCGCTATTCCTGAAAAATTGATGTTGTTCAATTAAGAAGCTTTTGATTAGTATCTTAAGTTCAATAATAATTCATCTGCAAAACGTTTAAAAGTTTGAGATTAAAGAACGAATCAAATTATTGAGGAGCAATAAGCATATATTCATCTTAAATTAAATGGCAATTACATTAGATCTCTTTTTTGTCAACTGCGTAAAATAACTTCAGTGCCAGTGAAGCTATTGTTTGTTATCATTAAAATGTTAACCCTAATTTTGTCGTCTTATCATCGCCTCGTGTTACATCGATCTGTTCTTCGCCCACGTCAACACTATCGTTATTCTCTACGTCAATACTAATACTTTCATTTTCACTCTTTCCGTCCATTAATACTGCATTTCGTTCTCCTGCCGGTAATAACAAATCAGCCATAACTTGTAAAAAATCTGAAAATGATGAACTTTCTCTTTTTTCATAATATAATTTCATTACTGTTTATCGCTTTTTGAATCTCACTTGATAAAGCCTTTGATATTCAAATTTAATTTATGGATTGTTATCATACAGTTTAATCTAAACCATAATATTCCAAAATGTGACATGTAGTTCAATCCTTAAAGGACATTACTTTGTTCGTGCAATCATTGATTTATAAGCAAATCATAGTTTAAGTGAAAATTAAAATTAGAAAATACTTAAGTAATGTTATTTAAGAATGAAACACTACCTTTGAGATCAACAGTAAAATCGGTATTCTTCAGGCTCTCCAACAACGGCGCAATTTTGAATAATAATTCTCCATCGTCATCTAAGGGATCTATGGGCATATTGCATTTGAAGCATTCATGAATCTGAAGCTAACTAATTTCATATTAGCAAAACTGTTATGCATTGTGTACTTTCATTGTTTGTAGTAATTTATCAAAAACTTTCAAAGTGAAAAGGCAGACCTGATTTGCGCGCCTTATAATTTCATTATCAATGCCCATTTTGGATGCAATATATGAGGCATGTGAAAAGTCAATAAAGCCATCAACAAGTTTGTATTGAAAATCGAAATTTCCATCATTTAACATTACATCCATCGTCTACAGAAATAAATATTAACGAGGTAAAAAGTTTCAGAGTTTTATCGTTTTTGCCATAATGTTCATTTTTTCAATTCAACTAGTTAAATGAACATTTAAATTACAGGTAGCATCGTTTGTTTGGGATTCTTCTTCCTAATTTCAGGGTGACTCTTTTATTTTACAAAAGATGAATCCATCTTTCAAGAAAATCCGAGAAATTTATTAAATACTCTATGGAATTTTCGAAATGTAGTATTCAACAATGATTTTTGCTGAGCGGAAGTTTTAAAATTTCTAATAAATATTTTTAAAACCCTAGAATACAATTTAAATACCAAAAACGATAATAAGTCAGCATCTTTAATAACATGATCAATTAGTGAGTGGAAATGAGATACAGCGAAAACGTGTGGACAATCAGTTTTTCCTTTCCGAATCCAATAATTCAACGATGATGTTAGCAAGGAAATTCCAGCTTCCTGCAGAATATTATGAGAAATATTTTTCGAGCAATATATTAAAATATATAACAGATTTCATTTAACATAAGAAAAGTTATTACAATTAAAATTAAGATACCATAACTGTGCCTTTACCAAATTCATCGATTAAAATAAGCGAATTTCCAGTTCCACGTCGCAAAGCGAGAGCCATCTGAAAATTTAAAAAAAAAATCATATCCATTCTGCCATAATGCGTTGAATTTTATCTGTTTGGAAAATAAAAAGTTAAATTCCCTTTACTTTCAATCAATTAGAAAGGTCAAAAGCATAATTTCAAACTGCATGCATCCTTCCAATGCAATTCAACAGGTAATCAAATGATGGATGTGGTATAGTGAATAACCTGCGACAAATCAGTCGCAAATGTTGACATTCCATCTAATACGCAATCTAGTGTATGCATTCGTGTAATAATACGATCCACTGGTCCGATGATAGCACTTTTTGCTGGTACAAAGCTTCCAATATGCGCAAGAAACACAATAATTCCAATCTGCATAAAATTTTCACTTTATACCCCTATTTTCAAACATTTTTATTTTGCTAATAGCCGTTGATATTATTCTCAAGAACAAGCCTTAAAAAATATTTGCTGGTCATAAATTATAAACTAAAGTATAAACAGTAAAAAAAATAAACTGAAGTATAAATATAAATAACAAAATAATGTACAAATAAATAGTAAAACATAAATAGTGATCTAGAAGCAATGCAGAACTTACATTCACTTTTACTTAGATACAGTTAATCAGTCAATTAAAATTAACATTGATTTCTTAATTCATAAAATTCAATATTTATATTTCTTAAAAATATACCTGTTTCAGGTAAATACTTTTGCCTGATGCATTTGGTCCCATTAGGATTTTCATCTTCGTTTGTGCACCTCCAGAACTGCAAAAAAATACATTGCCTATCCATTTATTGAATAAAATCAAACTAGATTGATATAAGTTAATTTTTTTCGCAGAACTTTTTTACAAAGCACAGTATTTACTTATCCTGTTCAAAGTACTATACTTATTTCTATTAAGGAACCATTAGCGAAACCGAAATATAAAATGAGGCTGAGTACTTTAAAAAAAATCATATTTTGTAAACAATCTAACAAAGTTTGTCAACCATTAAAAAAATTGATGGACTTTCTACTTACCGGATTGGATTTGGAACAAATTTACTGGTTGATAACAATTCCATGATAGCATGCCTTCCATCATCTACATCAATCACAGATTCATCAACGTAACGTGGACAATACCATTCATATTCACGAGCTGTTAGAGCAAGTGAAATGATACAATCCAATGTGGCGCAGATGTAAGCTGCTTCACGGATAGCTTTATCATATCGGCAAATAAATTGTTTCAATCTAAATTAATAAGTTTGAAATTCCTTATTATTATTTCCGTTTAGATAACTATCGGAATCACATAAAACAAGCCATGAGACTTGCTACATGATTCAAAAGCAAAAGATGAGTTTCTACTTCTCAAGAATAGTTCTTTCGTTGAATTAGAAGTAGGAAATCTGATAAGCAACTGGAGTTAAATAATGATTCAAAACTAAAAATGAAAAATAAATCTGTGAATTTCAAGCGACATGATATCTTCAAAAACATGCTCATTCGTTTTTCCGCAATTCCCCAAATATTTTCGACCTTTTCTTTTCATTCATGAAAAAATAGATTACGGTGCCTTCTAATACCATTGCAGCTGAGATCGTAAAATAGCATAAGAATAGAGCACGTGAAAATAATATCAAATTTATGATTAATCTTGAAGCAACTATGGAGCGAAAGCATATTTCACTTTGAATTGTTTCATTCAGATTTTGGGATATACCAAAAATTTCTAGGATTGAAAATTAATGCAGTAAAAATAAACTTTAGCATTGCATTTGTTTCAATGTCAATTATTTCCATCTTTATATCACCAATTTCTCGATCAAGTTGACGCATTCGTTCGTTTTTTACATGTATTGCATTTTCCGTTTCATACAAAAGTTCAATCTCATTTTGAACAGACGGTGGAAATGCCGTATTTTTTGGTACCACTAACAAATAGCCGAACATCGGTATATAGCACACCGATGATGGTACATCTGGAAAAAAATCTTCATTCGAAATATGAACTTTTTTTTGTATTTCTTTGGATTTTGCCTAATTTTCTCGCTGTAATTCACCCCACTCTTATAATTCTTTGATTTCCTTTACGAAAAGAAAAAACAAATGTTCCTACTCAGAACTGTAGCTTCCATTCTTGCAATATGTGTCAATGTTTCTGGTAACGATGCATATAACTTCTTTACTGAAAATTAATGAAGTATAATTCTTTATCGAAAAATTTACATGAATTTAGATTATTAATGATACTCCCATGCTTCCTTTTCTTTAAATTATGCCAAAAATTCACTCAATGAATAGGTTTGATGCAAAAAAGACTAAAAACTTGTAATATTTTCAAACTTAAACTTTTTTTTTTAACTGACAATACAAAAACTCCAAAAAAAGATGAAATTTGTAAGTTCGTAAAATAACACTTCACATTGATCCAAATTTCCATCAACATTTGCATTTACGACAAATCGATTTTCCATAAATGATTCGGAAAAATTAATCTGTTAAAAAAAAAAACAACAGCTAAGTTGCATTATTCAAACAATTATTTCCCATTACGCAATAATGAATATTTCCTTCAAGAGCATTAAAACTAAATATTTATATTTAAAAATATAAATATTTAGTTTTAATCAGCAAGCAAAACATATCTGACTTTATCTTTCAGAACTACTGTTCAATTTCTTGTTCCCTGAATTACATGCAGGAGGGCAAAATAGATAAAAAAAAGAAAATGGGAGCGATAAAAGTGACAAACTTACAACTTCAAAGATGACAGCTGTAATGCGAGTAATATCTTTGCAAACATTCGTCATTTCATCATCAAATAATGCAAGCTTTATTTCGCGCTTTTTGATGTAATCCATAATTTGTTGTGCTGTATTGCATGTCTTTAAAAATAAAATTTAAAATAAAACATCCATTTTACCAATAATGCGAGTGAATTTGCATTATTAATCATCCACCCCCACTTTTTTCTCTCGAAGTTATGCAAAAAAATTGCTTCAAAAAAGGTTTAAATTAATTTTATAAGTATGGAGAGATTTGAGAAAAAAGCGGGACAGAGAAGTAACAGTCAAGACTTGACTTTTCTAGCAATTTATCTCTATGTCAAGAAAATATGGTCTATAAGAAGTTACTGCTGTTTGTATTGCATCATTTAGCTAATACATCTATTCTTTTAAATGATGACGAAATTCATTTATCTTATCTGCAATAGTAGAGCTGTTTCAAAGTTCTGAGCTTAGCAATTATAAACTTCAAAGAAATTTTTTTAAAAAATATGCACTAGAAGTCAATGACGATTATGGCTTAGTTTTTTTTTCTATAAAATCTACGATAAATAATAAGTGTAACCGTATAAAGATTTCGCCAATCATTTAGTGTCAAACGTTGCGACTTCACCCGTTTGAGAATCCCCTAAAATGATATCGATAACACCAAAATCCAAGTATAGAGATATTTTCAATAAATTACTCCAATAAAGCAAAATAAACATTAATATTAAAAAATAACCGATTATGTGTGACCATATTTTAAATGGATTTCAACTTAGGAAAAATTCACGATTGCAGCTCTTTCCGTTTAATGCCATCTCCGGCTTTTGTCACTGATTTCACAAAAAGATCATAAAACTACAAGGAAAAAACAAAAGTAAAGAGTAAAAAATATATATTCTACTTTTAAAATGCAAATTTTTTTAAGTCGTATTCGTATGAAATCAGCTGCATCCAAATTGCAGTCTTGTACGAAATAATGAACGGCTGCTACACGATTTGTCAATATTTTTCGATTTGTTGTTGGTCGCTCGAACCAACACCTTAAAAAAGAAAAATTAGGAAATTTTTTGGGAAAAAGTATTTGCAAATTTCAAAATCTTTTCGGAAGCCTAAATCAATTTACAGCATTGATTCATGCGGATTTATTTGAATTCTAAAGCTAATAAATATCATTTTATTAAAAAGACGGAAATTCAATATTCAAAGCAATTTGACTTTTCCCTGAAGAAAAGATTGGTAATGTGGGTAGATCTATGACATTAGAAGATATTTATATCTGAAACTATAAGATTATAATACTTTCAAACATTATCAATTATAGCAGTAATTACTCAATAAGAATTGCAAACTTGTTTGTGAGTTAGAATTGAAATTTTGCTTTTTTTGAAATTTTTCTATACGAAGGAAAATACCGAAGTAAAGCTTCTCCACTTTTTGATTGGCATCGATTACACATTCGAAACAAACTGATTCCTTCACGAGTACCACCAACTGAATATGTTTTGCAAGCTGACGGATGTAGTTCGTCCTTAAAAATTTGCAAAGCACGTTTGGAACTATCATCCACTTGCACTATTTCGTCCCTAAAAAAGCCTAGATTGTGCCACAAAATACTTCTTGAAAATCATTCAAGTTTCGAATCCAGAAATAAACAAACAGAGTAATGGTCTTAATAGTTGTGATAGGTGTTTTCGTATTGATATCTTCGAATTCTACACCTAATCGTACGGCGTCCAAATATTTCAACAAAGCCCCAAAAGCAGAAATCTAAATTAAAAAAAAATGAAGAATTACAGAATAGGTTACAATGACCTGAAGTACTCTCCATACACATTTACAGTAAATGATTAGGCAGGTACGACATTCTTTTTACTGAGAAAAAACAATTAAGACAAACAAATGATTCGTTGAAATATTATAATTAAAGTAATTAATAATCAAAATTGACTGGAAATGCAAAATAATATATTAATCATGGATCAAGCAATTGCTTGTTATACCGTTAATCCATAAGGTAGCAATGATAAGTTATTAATCGACTAACCATATTCATAGCTGTCAAATTTAATCGAAACGCTAATCGAAGATTATTCTCTTCTTTAGTAGAACCAAATGATTCAAAAAGCGGCAAAATTCGTTTCTTAGCGTCCTCAAAATCTGAAAATATATCAATCTGAAAGTGATTTGAATGATCAAGAAGATCATATCATTTTGTCCATAATTAGTTGATTGTTAGGCAATTAATAATTGCGGTATCACAATTTTGAAGAAACAAAGGAACGAACTGTAAGCGACAGCTGGCATCAAATGTAGTGCAATTATAGGTCTTTCTTCTGCTTCTTTATCACTTTCATCAACATTCTCATCTTGTTCATCTGTTTCTCCCTGATTTGCCACAGCATTTTGTTCGATTCCTTTGTCCGGCATTTCGGTAATGATATTATTTTTCTCACCAAAACCTTTTAAAAGCAATCGATGAACGCAAAATACTTTTTATAAAAATTTAAATACATTTTATTTAACTTATCAAATTATGCGACAAGCAAAGAAAGAATATTCTAATAATCAAAAATTTATACAGATCCATTAAATATCATAAATTTATTCTGAAATATTTCAAAAGAAGCTTTTAAACACTTACACAACTTGTTCAGCATAGCGAGAAAATTGACATCTTGCATTTTACTAACAATCACAATTGATGGTTCCAGTTGAAGCAGCACTGAGTGTTAGAAAAATGAAAGAAATTAGATCAGCCTCACCTATTTACAAACAATTTGAAATATTTCAAAGGAATCTTTTCCATTAACATTTTATTGATTATCATTTGTATATTAAATTTCGTGATATGGTGGCCTCCAAGGTTAATACAAGAATTTGAAATTTTAAGTCGATAATCATTTGAAAGTTAGGAAAACTTCAAATTACTTCCAAGTTTATCCTAATTTCGACCAATCAATCTGGAAAATTTGCGACTTTTATAGTTGCATATGATGTGACTACATTTCCTCTCCATTTAATTATTTGATGAGAATATCCTTTGTTAAATAGCTTCAGATTCAAAATTTTTCAATAATTTATAATATAAACTAACTGAAATTAATGCATGCAAAAATCTCTTTGGCTATCAGAAAATATATTTTTTAAAACTTCAATATACAGTTCTTTTCGAATATTTTTAGCAGAATTTAACTATTAAGAAGGAATTGATTAAAAATTCCAAATGAAAATAGTATTGGGTGGAAATGTCATTTGGAAATAACAGTATCTATTTAAAGTTCATTTTTTGAGCTGATATCAAATCAACAAAAGTTGAGCGACAAAAATTCTTAAGAATTCAACAAAAAAAAAAACTAGTTGGAATTTTTAAGCAACTAACGAGAATTTGTCATTCGGAAATCATCCGCATCCTCCAACAAATCGGTCAGTACGAATATTGTAGCCGTTTCTTGATCATAACATGCGGCGCCCAGTCTATTCCGGTTATAATGCACTGACAAAACTTTGGTGGACATCTGCAAGGCATACAAATTCGTACAAAATTTTTTATATAAATTTATTGAAAGTTGATAGTTTAACACGCAAAAATTTTCTGGGATTAGTTTGCAGCAAAAATTTATTGAAATATTATTTGATAAATATTTTTTGAGTAATTTCAAATTCCAATTTTTTAAAAATTATTAATTTGTCAGAACAATAAAATCTCCTTGCAAAAATCATTGGAATTTGAATATCATTCGAACATTTTTGGAACCATTCCAATTTCACATTTGGAGCAAAAATTTATCAACGATTAAATTTTGAGATACGTTTATGCAAAACGTATTTCATTAGTTTCAATTTCAACTAAAATAATTTAGCAATAAAATTTTCTATATTTGAATTTATTGTTCAAAATTTAAAAACACATTCCTTTTTCCTTCCATTTTAAATGCATTCTCTAACTTTTTTAAGATTTCAAATTTATACAGTCATGCTGTTTTACCATATGCCTTAGGAAATGATGAATTTAAATTTCAAATTTCAGTCCGAATACTGAAAACTTATTTTATCCCTCTGCCAATAACAACAAAACAGTAATTTTTTACTTGCTAATTATATAACGAAATGCCAGCAAACAGGAATTAAAATTAGAATCGAATTTTAGAAGCTTCAAATTGTCAATTCACGAGGAATTACGTGAAAATTTATAAAGAATTTAATAAATGGAGGCGAAATTTACTGGTTAAAAAACGAACATGCAAAATTTGAAATGAAATATCAGTGGAAATGATTTCAAGCAATTTGGGATAAATCTTTTTCGCGCCATTTGGATTTTTTTTCCGGAATATTCCACGCCGTATTAGTCACACTTTTCGTCTGTCTGATGGCCCGGCTAAATTTAGAATTTCAATTTTTCATTTCAATTTGCTCGATCATTTCATTATCAATTTTCTTCTTTCCACTCAGATTAAAATTTTTAAATTTGAAAATTTTAATTTGGAAAATTTCTGACTTTGCAAACAATTAAATTCGGAAATAATATTGAAATATATAAAATTCTAATGATAATAATGAGAAATAATCAATGCTGGAAATACTTATCCCCTTTTTTTTTTTGTCATTTTCCTTTTGTGCGATGAGTAATTTAGACGATATGAACATTATAATTCTTTTCTTTCTTTTATGGAACATTTATAATGTTTAATAAAAATAATGTATACCAGTAATAACAGGTAAAGCATATAGTAATATGGATGATTGTTATATCGATTATATCGATGCTATTAGTTATTATTGTTTGTTATTGATTACTATTGTTATCATTTCTTTCTGCTCAAACATTATGCATTATTTGGATTGGCCATATATCTTTTCCAGTGATTAATTTGTTTGCATTTATACCTTTCGATCATGTGATCCTATTTTAGGCTTATTGAAACGCTTTCCTGATCAATATGATGTGATCATAAAATAGTTTTTGCTTTGCTGCTATTGCTGCTGCTTTAGTACTTTCCTTTGTAACATTATTGATTATCAAATTATTGATCCATTAATATTCTTATTGTTAGCTATGTTACTTCATTATTATCGTCGTCGTTATCATCATCAAAATTTTTTCACTGCTATGTTGCAATTTACTATTTTTATTATGCAAATTTTACCATCAACTCAAAATTTTGATAAAATTCAACTAAATGGTTCATCACCACCTCAACCACCACCAGGTTTGTTAATCTGAAAATACTGTGGTAGTTTATTCCGTTACTAAAAGTAATTTTAATTTAATGATTAATAATTAAATTAAAAAAATTATATGACAAGAAAAAGGCATAAGTGATTGAAAATGAGAAAAAAAAGTAATGATATTTTAAAATTGTACGTTTTTATAAAGTTGCATAAAAAAATATTTTAGCAATTTATTTTTAATTTCAATTTTTTAGTTTTTGGATGAGTTATTGCTTTTACATTCCTTTGTTAAATTAAGTACCGCTCATATTTTCCATTGACAAAATTTTTCATTATTTTAGTGGCTATTTAGTGACATTGACAAAATTTTTCATTTTAGTGAAATTTGGTGAAAAAGATGCAGTGCACGATACAGCGTAAGTTTCTGTTTATTATTTCGATATTGTCTGATATCTTTCTTAAGTTCGCTTACAGCTTTAAGAATTATGTTTACTTATGACTTTAACAATTGTTGTGCAAGCATATGGAATTCATTTTATTCATTTAGAGGTTAGCAAAATTTTTCACCGCTACTTATTTCTATTTATAAACTTAATTAGGACATACTGTCTCATCGTGATTGGTTTCTCATAGTATCAGTGTACTAAATTATAATTTTATAATTTTTCAGTATCTTGGTTTTCCACTTGTCTCAGTTAAGTATCGCTCAAATTTGTTTTTTAAATAACTTAAAGTTATTATTATACATTTATATGTAACATTTTGTTTGGTTTAAATGTATTGCAGTTTACTGAATATTTTCAGGCATATCAAACAACATTTAAAACGGAATGTGGATGTTGATAAGATATTATTGAACAAAAATTTGAAAATTTTTCACTATTTTCGAATGCATGATTTAGATGGAGACTACAAAATTGATGGCATTGAGCTTATTAAAGGAATAACCCATTTACACGAAAAAATGAATAGTCAGTTTTATTTTTTTTTCTTTTCACCTTGAATTGGATAGCATGACATTTAAAACAGTTTCACGCATTTGGTCATAACAACATAAAAACATTTCTTGTTACGAATATCAAGAATTTTTTCTATGTCGTTTTGTTTAAATCGGGATATGCTATACATTCAATTCTTATAAAAGAAACAATAAGAAAGCCTTTTAGAACCATTAATACAAATGCTAGAGAATATTTGAACATTTCGATTAAGTTTATTTGTTCGAAAAGTCAAATATTCATATTTTTAGATAATGCAGAAAAAACAATCTCAGAAACAGATCTGGAAGATATGGTGTCAGAAACATTAAGAAAATTGGATACCGACGACGATGGTTATATAACATATGCTGAATATAGACAAATCGATCAAAATTAATACTTTTTTTCTGAACATTTTAGGTGTTGCGATTTTTTTTAGCTTTTTTTTCAGTTATTTAAGGGAGTCGAAAGGATGCAACGTTGCTTATCTCTTTCTACGTTCTTTAACTCTGTTGGTCAATTTTTTTTTTTTTTTGTTGCTGGTAAAGGGTATTGGAGTTGCTATCATTTTCGAACATTTTGTCATTTAGTGATAAGATACATTCATTTCATCAATTTTGAAGCTAATGAAAATTGAATTTAGTTGCATTAAAACAACGAATATTAAAGCGAAAAATGAGAGTAAAATCTAGTACAAAGATCAGTAACAAATTGATTAGATCTATAATCTAACCAAATGATTGAACAATTTGTGAAAATTTTCGTTCTTCTCATGTGAATTTGCAAAGGTTACATCAAATGGAAAGTAGTGATAACAGCAAAATGATCAGACGGATAGTCATTTTTCCAGTGGAATGGTTTAGGATAAACAGTTTCATGACCCTGATATGTATACGATTGTATAGGAGAGAGTAGCGGACTACGATAAAAGATATAATCAATTCGGTCCTGTGGTTCCGGTATTGTCCAGCTCCAACCACCACTGCTCATTTTTTCCACTGTAGACCATGTTATTCCTGATTTTATGAAAATTTTGCTTTTTAAAAATTTTATATATCCTTAGCGATCAATTTAATCCTAATTTTATATGTTCTTAACGATCAATAATGTGTCATTGGGAGTTTTAATAGGGATCATCTTTCATTTTCAAATGGTCGTATCGGATGTATTCTTACCTTTACAGTTCAAATACATCAAAAGGGTATTTTCTAAGGATGAATAATATATAAACTTGATCTTTCAATGGTGGTTAATCTTTTCTTGGAATTTTTAGTTTTAATTAAAATAAACCTGGATTTTCAAGAACGTGTGGATGCAGCTCTCGATAAGAATCTTTCATTTCAGCTTCATTTTCCAATATTTGTGTTGTTGGCCATTGGAATTTCCAGTTACCATGAAGAAAACTGAAATTGATTAAATAGAACATATTGTATGCATTTTTTGCAAGGTAAAGTCAAGCATAAATTAAATTTATTGCAAAAAATTCTCCTGAACGTTCTTCTGTTGTTGTTCCCAAAATTCACTTATGGAAATTCTAATTTCGCTTTCTTACAACTCATATTTAAGCATTTATGATTTAAATTTTTCTGTTCACAGAACACAAAATACACTATATATTTTTAATTTACCAATTCTGCTATTTATGAATCTAAATTTATATACATATAAGCTAGGGTTCTAACTGATAGTCTTTAACATGCTAAGCTTTGATATATAATAGCATAAAATTAGCATTTTAAAATTTCTCTGCTATTATATGAAAGAATTTTTCGTTTTTGGTTTGCAATGAATTATCTTTCTATTGCAAATTTTAAGCCAAAGGAATTTCATTTTTTGAAATTCTAACCTTGTCTCATTAGTCCAATCGAGATGTGATGGTGAATTAAAATCACCGCAAACAATCAATGGTTCAGTGGATGAATTTCCAACAGCAGCTTGGAAATGATCATCGACTAGTAATTCTCGCATATTCTGGAAACGACCTAAACTTTTACTACTTTTTTCGCAACGAATTAATCATTATATGTTAATGAAAATGACCTTGAACCATTCAAGCAAAAAAGAAGGAGTATGATAAATGTTTAGTTAAGCGATCATTTTTCTTTAAGTTAAAAGATTTTTGTATAAACAATGGAATTTTTAAATTTATTGGAACCTGTTTTGCAAAAAAAAAATTCATTCATTCCAAAAATTGGAAATTCTCTCTTTTTGTTTTTGATTTAAAAAAAGTTTAGACTATGTATGGTAGAATGTGTCATCTGAATAATAAAATGAAATCAAAAACAAAAACCTTTGCCATCAGCCATTTCACCAGCCATAATTTGTGTTATTTTAGTGACCATTTTATTAAATGCTGCATATGGACCATACGATCTGCAAGAAAAAAAAATTTTGCTCATAAATTTTCAGAACACAAATTGGAAAATATTAAAATCAGTCCGGTTTACTATGAGATGTTATCGATTAGTGCATATGATAAGATTCATACCTAATCCTTATTACCCTTTACTAATCAATGGATACTATCATCTTCGTGATCATTTTTAAACTAAAACCTTTAAACTAAAAGTTCCCATACCACATCCTTAATACTAAAGAATGAGCACAATTATTTTCTGATGTTAGCTTTTGTAACATAGTTATATTTTCCTTAATTAGATCTCAAAATGTATAAATTTTGATCACAAATTATTGCTACTTACCAGCTTAAAAATATTATAATTTTCTTTATAAGCCTAATGAAATTATTGGAATTTCGGTGCAACTTTACCATTTTATTACTATAATTCTAATGAGATATGGCATGTTAGGAGTTGTAGCAATTACAGTATTTAAATTAATTACAAAAGTTCTAATTATTATAAATGAATAGCGAAGGAAATTTTCAACTGGATTAAAATAATTAGATGAGGAATTGATATATTTTTCTATCCTTAAAATCTTAAAAACTATTCATATTATTAACAATTTATAATTAATCTTCCTATCGCAATTGTAAACTATTGTAATGTAATTTCAGTAATTATTTCAACACTAACTGATAGTCTAAATGAAGATTCCATACGTGAATTGTTCTATTTGCACTTTCAATCCTTACTTTAACACCCATACCATGGCTGATTTGATGTAGTGATTGATTAATTAGCTAAAAAAAAAATGAAGTTAAAATTGTTTTAAAATGTAAGAAAAATAGAAAAAAAGTGAGAGGATTAGAATTTGCCAAAATTATTTCATAAAGTGTTTCAAAGCAATATTTTCCCTCATATTTTATTTCTAATTAAATGATGATAAAAATAAAATTAGCTAAATAGTAATAACTAACTTTGTGTTTTGTTAAAATAGCAGTGTCAGGATATGAATATGTCGTTGTAGCAGCTGTCCATCCTATGCCCATTTCTTTTACCAAATGATTCAAATGATCTGTATCATGAACTTCCTAGAAGTGGAAAAAAAAAAGATTCAAAATTTAATGAATTAAATTTGAAAGAAAGCTTACAATTAATACATTCATCATCATTTTTTAAAATAATCATTTTTTCTTCCTTTTTTATGTCTTTTTTTTTTCACTAAGAAATTTTATTTCGGATTAGTATTAATGATTATTAAATTAATACCAATATTGGCATCTTTTATTACTATATCAAAGTTATTTTTCGTAAATTTACACAAAAATTTACACAGAAATTTCGTTAACAAAAATTTTTAATTGTAATATTGTTGTAAAGAATTACTCACTTGCAATGCAACAATATCCGGATTGATCAATTTTATGTGTTTCGCAATTTTTAACATTCCATTTTCGACATTATCACCCGAAATCCAAGTATTAAATGTCATAATTGTAATGTTTACTGGTCTTTCGCGATTTAAACACAGTCCTCCGAGTGATAATATTAGAACAATAGGAAGTGTTAGTTGTGAGGATTTCATCCTGAAGAAAAATTTGAAATTTGTGAAATTAAAAATGCATAAAGGAATAGAAGAAAGCAATAGAGTTATGCAAGCAATTAAATAAAAGCTGAAAATTTAGAGAAGTTAAAAAAAAAATTAAAAATAAAACAAACAAAGCTCATTTATAAAATAGAAGATGATATATGAAACATATAATGAAGAAAAAAAAAAAACTAAAAAATTAAAAAGCGAAAAGCGAAAGTTCATGCAGCTAGCTAAACAAATTGTATTTTGTAATTTTTGATCCCAAAATAAAATGAACGATTATACTTGCATCGGTAAAATCCAAGATCATAACATTTCCAATTGAATCACTATTATCATTTGCAGTGATAAAAAAATAGGAAACGAACTGTTGGTATGATGAGTTGTAAATAAGTAACGATCGTTGTTTGATTCAAAAGTTCACGAGTGATATGAATTACATTTTAAAAATAAATTAATTGCAATTAATAAGCAAAAAGGAAATGGAACAGCACAAAATGGTAGCTAAAATTTTAACAAACATATTAAAATAATAAAGTAATATGCAGCGGAGCAAAGTATTTGAATAGGTTTCAGAAAAAAAGAAATAAAAGTTTCAAATTTCAAAATGAAGGAAACTGAACGCCGAAAAACGTATGAAAAATAGGATTAGTAGTAGAAGAAGAAAGCAAACAGACAAGATGAAATTTTTACATTATCACATTTAAATGTTTAAAATAAATTAAAAATTGAGAAAGAATTTGTAATTTTTCAAAAACATATCAAAATTTCTGAATTCCATTTTCGAAATATTTCCCGATGCAAAATTAAATGATAAAAATTATAACTTTTTTTTTTATCCATTTAAATTAGAAACAAAATGATAGCATTTTTTTTTCAAGCGTAAAAAGAACTTCAAAATTTCATAATTCATTAACTTTCGAGTTAAAAAGGAAAGAAACTACAGGAAAATTTACTGTTATTCTAAATTAATCTTAAAATTTTACTAATAGAAGAAAGAATTTGGATCAATCTAAATGAAAATGTTCACAATTAAAACGAACATGTTAGAATTGAAGAAATTCTATGTTTTTTTTTTTTTTGCTTCATTGTTGTCGATTGGTAAATGTGCAGAGTAGCAAACACAGATATCATACTCTGCCTTTCCCTGTTATCTTCAAAATCATCCGATACTTCAAACAATGGTAGATCCTTAAGCAATCCAATGAAGATCATCACATCTGAGGAGAAAACACTGTGTTTTTTTGCCATTTCAAAAATTTAAATGAGAGAGAAAAAAAAAAGGAGAGAAATGAAGATTACTTTACATCTTTTCTCTCTTTTGCTTCATCTTTCTAGAAAAAAGAAAAAAAAAATGAAAAAATTGAAACAATTCAATTCAATGTAATCACTAACAGTTCCTCAATTCATTTTGTTAAAAATATCATTTTATTTAATTGATTTATCTTTCCTTTCTTTTTTTTTTTTTAAATCTAACTTTCTTATCTCTTTTTTTCTCACATATTCACTTATTTTGCTATTAATTTTATTCAGTCTTGAACAAAAAAACTAAAATTCTTTTCATTATTTATTTACAAAAAAAAAAAAAGAAAGAAAAACTATAAATTTCATTATGTAAAATTTGCATCAGAAAAAAGAAAAAAGAAAAAATAGGTTTTTTTTTTCTAAGTACACGTATATGCGCGTACACAATCATACGTACACACACAGGCACACATACACAAATATGCACATACACTATGCACATACACACATACACACACACACATACGCATACACGCACACACATACACACATATAAACATGCACGTAAACATGTAAGTAATGCATAAATCAAAAAATAGGAAAATAAATAAATAGAAATTAAAACAAATACCGCTGTAAATTGTCAACAACTTACAAATACAATCAAATCAACAAACAAAAACATGATATATATGTATATGTGTGTGTACATGTGTGTGTCCGTGTGTGTATGTGCATATGTATATGTGTGTATGTGATATTGGTTTAATGATTAGTATATATATATATGTATGTCTGTGTATGCGTGTATGTATACGTATTATGTGTGTGTATGCGTGTGCACGTGTGTATGTGGGTGTATGTGTGTGTGTGTGTGTATTTATGTATAAATGATGTATGTACATATAGGTATATGTTTATATATGTGTTTGTAATGGGTGGATTAAAAAATACTTCAGTTTCATTTCGCTCATCATCTCATAAAAATTCTCATTTTTTAAATGAAACATATCTTAATTGAATGAATAATTTCCTTGGAATTATAAAAATTAAATTATAAAATGTATAATTCAAATAGCTTATGTAATGAGAATTAAACCAAGATTGTTTTTAATTTGAATAATTTAGTTACATGGCAAAACATTAATTGAAGCATGCTGTTATATTATTATTTCCCTAATTTTATATTTTTTTTTTTTTTTGGTTAATTTAAATCTTTGCTTCACGTTGTCAATATCAATGATGAATTGAAGTAGAAAGAGAAATAAGACATTTGAAAAAGTATTGAAAAAATTCGAATATTTGAAAGTGTCGAAAAAGATAGAATAGTTGAAATTTTCATTTTATTTAAATTTATCGATGAATAATTTTATTGAAAATTGTACTCAGTTTTCGTACTTTTTATCTTTGTTTCATTTTGCTACTGTTAGCTTCTTTTATTTGTAAGTTATGAAATTTCAAACGTTACATAAACTAATAGTTATTAGGTTTTCATTAATTTTTTTTTTTTTTTTTTAATAAAATGACACTAATGAAATATTAATATACATATGAGTGATCATTAGTACATTTCGTGTCTATTAATATACATATAATCATAATCACTGATACATATACTCTCGTTTATTTTTTTCTCTTCCAATAAAGAATAATGAAGAGGATAGAATAATGGAAAAAGTGAATTAAATAGTTAAGGTTGCTTTAAATATAAACTAAAAAAGAAATGAAATTGGTACCGAAATATCCAAAATGAGCAGGCACATCAAATACAACGAATAAAATGATTATCAAAATGAACGAGCTAAATATTGGAAAAATATTCAAATGAATTGAAATATTAAAATGAGCAAATTAAATATCAGAAAAAATATCCAAAGAAAGAAGCAAAATATTTAAATGAGTGTTGAAACAAAGAAGAAAATGAATATTCAACTAAACAGCTGAATACTGGAATGAAATATTTGAATGATGAAGCGATATATAATTATTGATTATATCTTTTCTTTCTTTCTTTTTCGCTCATTAATCATTAGGGAAATTCCGATGAAAGTTTAAATTGAAATCAAAAATGAAGTGAAATTTTGATATTTTTGGACGCTCACAAAAAAATGATGATTTTAGTTTTAAAGCAAAAAAAAAAAAATTGTTTTTACTATAATCATTATACATTTAATTAAATAATCATTCTGTTTATTTTATACAAATATCGCTATTGATGCAAAAAGCATGAAATTTTTATATTTTGACAACTGAAATGAGTATTTCAAAATGAACGCTCATATACTACCAATTGAAAAGAGTGTATATAAAAATGCACGTTCATATTTTCCTCATTCGTGACAAATTAAGTTAAAAATGCAGAATGTATTTTGTTGCAGATATTTTACAGAATATAATTTTGTAATTTAAAAGTATGATTATTTGGTAAAACTCGAGATTGAAAACGTTAATAAATGTTTCGATTTCAGATTTTCAAATATAGAAACAGGTTGCACATATGTAAATTTTCATATCTAAATTTTCTCATTATTCGTGATAATGTCACTTGAAATTTTTTCATTCAATTTTTAAACTGAATTTTACTTTATAAAAACTATTATATTATCGTAGGATAAGATTCATAATATTAATTTAATTATGCAAAAACTGCTAATTCAAGGAAAAATGACAATACACGGATAAAAACAATTAGTAAAAAATGAAATGAAAACAATAACATTTTATTGTATATTTTTAAGTTATCAATGAAAAATAATTCTTTATTATTGTTTTGTAATTGCAAATTTTGTTCAAGGAATTTTAATTTCTTTTTAAACATTCAAAACAAAGAAAACATTTTTTAAAACAAAGAAAACGAAAAAAAAAATATGTTAAAAGTGCAAATATTTCTGGTGTTTGAATCGGCTTTTCCAAGTATCAACAAAAGAAATTGCTGATACTTGAAAAAGTCGAATCAAGCACATAAATATTTGCAAATTTAAAACTAAAAATGTGGAACATAGAATGGCAAGATCAAATAGAAAAACAAACGAAAACAAAATATACCTGTTAAAATGTTTGTTTCGTATTTCGTTCCTCTTTTTTCACGATAAATTGACAAAAAAGATTAACAAATCAAAATTAAATATTTATTTCAAATTAAAAGAAATTTTTAATTTTCATTCGTTAAATAAAATTATAAAAAATGGAGAAATTTCGAATTATGATAAAAATTGCACAATGCATAAAAATTTTTTAGCAATAATTATTTGCAACAGTATGCTTCTGTCGAGCGACATAAAAATTTAATTGGAATAAAAAAAAAAGATCAATCATATATTGAAGAAACTATCGATTTTAATTTATTCAGTTAATTTAAAATTTCAATTACAAACATTATGTACATTGCTGCTGTAAAAATATGCACACGCTAAAATAGAAATTTATTAATTTATAGTTATGGTTTTTGAAATTAGTCATTTTTTAGTTGCTTCATTATCTTTTTTTCTTTTCAAAAACATGTTCAATCCTTTTTTCGTTTTCAAATATTTGAAACAGTTTGATAAAAAGTAATGAACATGTATGCTTTTTAAATAGTAATGAAAGATTAATTAGCAATAGAAATCATTTACACAAAAAAATAATGAAATAATAAAATAATAAGATAAAATGCATTGTAGACAATTGCTGACTAGAAAGAAAAAATATTACAAAAGTATCACAAAATTCATCTAATATTCAAATTTTTGATGAGTTTAACGGCAAATAAT